GGCCGCCTGGCCGGGCTGCCGGGGCCGATCAGGCTGGGAGAAGGGGAGGCGGCCGCCGGCCTCCCCAGCCCGGCCCGCTGAGCTCCGGGTTGTTTCCCGCTCCGCTGCTCCGGGTCTGAGGCGGTTGACAGGGTTTGTGCCTGCCCCCTCCCCCGCCTTGCTGTCCTCCCTCAGGCCGCTGAGGGGATTCTTTCCCCGAGGGCTGCCGCCTCGTCCTAAAAACGGGGCCCTGCGAGCAGCCTCAGCGGTGGCACCCGGGGAGCCGGTGTTCTGCTTCCGCTCATCGCTGGGATTGAAAACGCCTCCCAGGCGGCTGCGGAGGTTTCGGGTCTGTATTAAAGGACCAAAGCTGTGAAACGTTAGGGAAGCCACCTTTTAGTCTACTGTTTGAAGAGTTCCGTGGCACTTCAGTGTGCTTTCTGGAGTTTAAAGTATTTATCTTTTAAAAAACCAACAATCTTAATTTATAAGTTTGCTGTGTAGAATGTGGTTTAGAATGATGATCTTTCTAAAATTACTGTATGTAAAAACATAACTAATGCACTTTATTTTCTTTTGAATGTCCTTAGTTTTACTGAAAAAAATAAGTTCAGACAGAGCTCTATACAACTACTTTTTTAAAGAAATAAACTTTAATCTTCAGAAAGTATTGTAAGAGTCATCTTTTTCCTCCTGATGCAGAGGGGAAGGTTTGAAAGGAAAATACACCAACATGACATCATTCATCATATCTAGGGATGCATTTGTGCATTGCACAAGTTTCATTAAGTGTTTCTTTTTTAAAGCTTGGGAGGTATGATTTCTGAGATGATTGAAATTGCAAAGTATGTATGCAAAATATGATGTATGCTGGTTAAATATGAAGAAAAATGAAATTAAAGGTTTGATCTGTAATGCTGTTGCTTTTTGGCCTTAATGTTACAGTCCAGGAGCTGCATGTGCTTCTGCCAAGTGCAGATAGGGCCTAGCAATTTCAATGTAAAAAACGTTCATTTTGTCACTCCTGTAAAATATAGGAAGAAATATAAGGAATTTTAAGTGATCAGAGAACTTGGAAAAGTAAGTGGCTCCCCCTGCTGCTAATCGTTGGAGAGCAAATATAGCAGTAAATGATGCGAGCTATTAATTGCCTGCTATTAGTCTGTACATAATGACAATAAAAAATACAGTAATTTATCTGAAGATTTTTCAAATTTTATTACACCAAGTCTGTATTAGGTATTTGGAAACAAACGTGGCATTGCTAGATGAATTGAAACAAATTAGAAGTCTGGCTGAATACCAGACAAATGTGCTCTGACTATAGCGAGACACACCAAAAACCACCAGAAAGGTCAGCCAACAGGCTGGGTTTCTTCTAACAGTAACTTTGTGTCTGATGAAAAATCTTGGAGTGAGAAGCAAGAGCTGAATTCAGGTGCCACGATGCTAAGACCCGTTTGTATCTCTGAGATTCTGAAGATCTCTTTCAGCATTAGACCTTAAAATCATTCACTTCTGCGAGTAAGAACAGCCATTCCTTGTTACAACCTCTGGTAGAGCTTAGCAGCAGTAAAGGAGAAAAAAAAGAAACCCTAGAGTGTTTGGAGCCAACTCAGTGCCTGATTTATGTTGAAAAAGAAGGAGGAATGCCTGGAATGCTATAGCAGGCAAGAGAGTCCAGGAGTTAAATTTGAACTTTGATCTTTTAACTAAAAGTTGACAAAGGTTATTAATCATCAGGAAATGTGTAGGAGCTGTTGGGTTTTAGTGAACTTACTGGTAAATCTCATGTGTGTATATCTCAATGATAAGTTTCACTGTTTCACTGTGAGCACCACAGCCAAAATAGAATTTGGATTAAATAACCAGATTTATATAATTGGGAAACTCAGTGTTGCTTGTTTTATTGCTGGTACTGTAAATCTCCCACGACATTCATAACCCAAGGCTGTAGCAACCATAGCAAAAGGTAGTCCCTGCCTAGCCTTCAAATCACTTAGAATTTAATTACACCGAACGGACGTAGAGAGTGTGAGTGAAAAATAATACAGCAGTACTTTTCTATGTGTGATCCTGTTGATATTTTTGGCAAGAGAAGGATGTGTGCTCTAACTTACAGTTGATGTTTATTCTGTAAACTTGTTCAATGTGCAATGTCTCTTGCTCTGTTTGTTCCTTCACTGGTTTTGTTCAGATTTCAAACATTTTTTAGAAAGTCTACAATATGAAAGGCATAACTGTGTGTATAAATGCATTTTTGCATTAAAAAATTCACATATTATAATATTGCTAGGCTTAACCTTACAAGATACATTCGTGTTAGCAAGCTAAAAATATGACGAATCAAGCTGGGACTTGCAAGTCCCTCTCCTTGCTCTTCATTGAACCACTGGCATGAAAGTTTCCATTGAAGTTTGGATCCTCCAAAAGGGACTCACTCAGGCAGACCCTGCTCCCCAGCGTCCTAAATCATCCCATTTCATTCTGCCTGAAGGATCAGGAATGAGCAAAGGGTAGAAGGTTGTCTCTCCTTCTGCTATCAGAAGTAAAGGATGCATAGATGCCTTCAGTCAAGGTTACCCTTCAGCTTTTAAGGTCAGGAAGCTGAAATGGTTCAGAGCTCGTTTACAGATTTTGTCAACAAAGAAGAATGTTAATGACTCCTGCTTGCTGGCAGATGTTTATGGAGCTCCTGGAGTATTTAGCAGATGGTCATTATTTTGAAGGCTTGCATAAATAAAAAAAGTATTGCATTTTAGTAAAACTAATATAACAAATATCACTTAGAACTTAAAGAAGGAGAGCCAAGGCCTGTGTGAAGGAAGCTTGAAATGAAACATGGGATACCAATATACCTCATATCATGGTGTGAGGGTGCATATGGTAATGTGGTGATCCTACTAGGCTCAGGACAGAAGGAGCAAAAAGTTTGCATAGAGCTTTTTAATATATTTTGCAAATGGATGCAGACATTTAATGATCATTAATACCATTTACACAACTTGTGAGGAAAATGCAAAAGGAAAATGAATTTTGGTACCTATTTTTCCACGTTTGACAAATGTATGGTCAGTAATCCCATATTTCTCATGGAAAACTTTCTGTTTATTTATGTCTTGCTAGTACAGTGGGGCTGTGATGTTGTTGAAATGAATTTGAAGGGATGAATTTGTGGCATTTCTAGGGGAAAAGTGATTTTGATAGAAGGAACAAATTTTTAAAGTGCCAAAATGGTATATCCAATTAGCTTTTTATAATAATAAGTGGTGGGTTGGGATTTTTTTGAGCTCTGTGTGAATGAATAGGATGTGTTTACTTAATTCCCAAAACACAGTCTTATAAGTCAGAGGTACTTAATGTCATATGTATTTTTGTTCTTAATTATCTGGTCGATTATGTGAGGAGGTCTTTTTCTTTGTTTCTTTGGCTTATGTATTTTTATTCATAAAAGTGTAATCACCTTTGTGATCTCTTCTGTGAAAGTTAGAAAATGCTGGGTTAGCAGATGTTGATCTGGTTGTGGACACTAAACTTAGTGGTGTCATAGGCAATGACTAGTGTTGATTAGGGAATACATTACAATGAAAATATCTGCAGGTGCCCTCAGCTGACTGAGCAAAAATGTGACTGAAATCAGTAGGGTGAAGAAGGAGGAAATGACACAGAAATATATAGGCAGAAAGGATGAAGGTGTATTAGGTGATAAATGAACAATGAACTGAGTAAATGGGTCTCATGTCCTAGGAAAATTTTGACTTGAAATGAATTTTTACTGTTCATATTTTACTTAATTCAACAAAATGAGAAAAGGCATGAATATTGTTCCTCATCCCCACCACCACCACGTCAGGACAGGATGAATCCAAGGAACTTGGCAAGTTCTGAATTTGTTTAAATAGCCACAGACAGCAGCCAGAAACTTGTGAAGTTCCTCCTGAGGGGGTGAGAAGGGAGCCTGTTCTGAACGACGCATTCCCGATGTCCTCAGTAGGTGCTGCTGCTCACAGGGAAACTCGGGAACAATGCTCCAGGTCAGACAGCTCCAAAGACTTGTCTGGATTATGTCAGAGAGACTCCTGCCTTGGGAACTGCCCGAAGTCAGAAGGCTTAAAGCTCTGGTGTGCTTCTCCTGAGCTCCGAGTTAGTCTTTCACCTCCAAGGAAAGCGTTCCTTCAGTTGTGTTTCTGATACTAGCTTCCATGAAGCAGGCTGAGTAAAGCCTATTGAGAATATAAGCACCATATAATATAAAGTAGCAATTGCAAAACTGTATCTATCAGTCTATAATATCAGATAATACTGCAGTTAAGTATCAATCAGTTTATAGGTCACATTTCTCATAAAGAGACATCTTTGGAACTACTAGGAAGGTGCTCTGGCAGCATCTTGAAATGCTGGGAAGTTATCATAGTGAAATAGCTGTTGCAATACAAGTTGATAAATATAAATTCCTTCTGGCTTTTTGTTAGTATGATGAAATATTTCAGAGTCTCTTTAGGCATAGTTTTTGTGTTTGAAAAGTAGACCTCATTTTTTATCCGTATTAAAGGGTATCCACAGTACTGATCCATATCTCACCAATATCAGAAACAGGTTTTTCCAGCTGAAGCCAAAAGAAGTATTTTTCATTATTGCAGTTTTAAAAATGTTCGCTGGAATATAATGGCACATTGAAAAAATACCATAAACAGTTCAGTCTTTAGCCTTTTAACTAGAGAGTAAAAAACTACTGAAAGTGATTTAACAATAAGAAAGATGATACACGATCTTGTTTGTCAAGTAACACTGGATACCCGATCTCTCTCACAATCCTACAACTGTTGTGATTTATATCAAAACAGTGGCATAAGTTGTTCATTTTACATGTCACACCTACCTATATGTCAAAATGTAAATAACATGCAGGCCATTTACCTGGACTTATGCATCTGTGTTTATATAAAGAGATCACATTTACTGCTTGGGCACGTAACACACAATCGTCCTAGAAGTTTTTGGTTAAGCTAATTTTCCATTGCTTTGCAGTCATCCAACTCTCTGAAGGCATCTTACGAAGACTGGCTGCTGACGTACGGCTTGAGCATCTCTCCTTTTCACATGCGATGGCAAACAGCTCTCTTCAACCGCCAGTTCTACAACTGGGGAAGATGGAAACCCAGATTTCTGTATTTATGGTATAAATGCAGTATTTTTTTTCTTCTGTCAAATACAGAGTCAACAAATTAAGCCTTTCAACCTTAAAAGTGCAACAGATAGACATGGTTATTTCACTAGGGTAACAATAACACCAGACTAGCGTGGTTGCAATAAATTGTACTGTGCCAGTATAAGTCTTTCTCCTCTGCTAAAAAATACATACCTGTAATATAGGTTGCATATTGAGATGTTGTAAAACTAGAAATCTGTAGAAGTCTGTAAACTACTTTTACCTATGGTTTAAACTATACATAGTTCTTAAGAGTACCGCTATTACATGTAATACTGCATACAGAAGTAGGTCTTCTGTACGCTTCTACGAGAAGCAGCTTCTTGTATCCTAGATCTGTCTGTCACTGTACGGTGACTGAGCTAGATCAGTAGAGTTTACAAAGTATTCAAAGGCAGTTACGTCCCTGTTGTCAATTGTTGCCCAGACATTCAGCAACTATGCGTGCTCAGAAGCACATTGCTCACCTTCTGTCTTTTATCTGCTGGCACCTTTCCCTGCTCAGGTTGCACAGACTGCTGGGCATGGGTAAATAAGCAGGATGGTTAGTATGGGTGCTCCTGGACTGGTTTAGAAGATTATTGATTATTCCTCAGTTGCCTTCCTAGCATTACTTTATATCTATTCTGAAAATCTAAAATTAGTAAGGTTTGAATTTCTTCTCACGTACTGTATTGCTACCCTCAGTGAGATAGTAATGTAGTTGAAGACGTCCCTGCTTATTGCAGGGGGGTTGGACTAGATGGCCTTTAAAGGTCCCTTCCACCCCAAACTATTCTGTGTTTCTATGATTTTTCTATAAAGAGAGGTCTGCTTCATATTGGCTTCTCTTGTATATAATGATTTTACTATTTCAATTTGAAATAGTTCTATATCAGTCACCTATTTTAAATGTGTATGATTTATTATAGCATAATGTTTCCACCAGTCTCTTTAATTAACATTACAAGTTGATGTTGCTTGAAATAAATCTACTAATTCCCAGTGAGCTTCATTAAAGATGGTAAGAGAACAGTTATGCTATTGTGAGAGGAAGAAGGACTGGTAGTGAATTGAAGTGTTTTAGCTAGAAAATAAACTTTATCACATCCTTCAACTACTGGACACTGTAAAATAATAATAATGCTGAATAAAACTTCACCACTAGATGGACTGACGTAAGTTGATTTGCAACACTGATTAATTAAGAATGAATTGGTGAGAAGAACAACTTGTTTTTGATTTTAACCTGGTCTTGCAGCTGTACCTTTTAGTTGTTCGTCTTTAAAAGACATTGTGTGTCATTTATTGTTCTTTAGCACGTTTTCATATTTGTGAGGAAGATGTGAAATCTCTTGAAAAAGGTTATATAAATAAATATGTGTGCTACCCCGGCATTTGATCTGGGTCTCTAAATATCTGATGGTGTGGTGCAACATGGTAGATTAAACATTGTTAGTTGTGTTTTTATATTCATAGCTAACGGCAAGTTACATGTATTTGGTAACTGAATAAAATTCAGAATGTGTAAGAACAATATAAAAATATTTGAAAATTAATCAGGATGTGGTTTGGAGGTAAAACATTTATTAAACAACAAAAATATTATATGTTATTAGTCAATGTTATTGGTATTGTTATTAGTTTCCTTTAGCTAATATTTTTGTGCTGGATTGTTGATACATGAATGGTAGTAGCATCAGGTAAGTTTTGCCCTGTGAGTTTGGTGTGCTAAACTGCGCTACAGCAGTTATATATCCAGAGAATATACCCTATCTTCATGCGGCTATGCATTTCTAAACTATTTACTTCTCTTTGTAGGTTCAGCATAGGAATGGTGTTTGGTATAGTTGCCATGTTTGGCTCTGTTATTCTTCTTGGGAAGACACTAATGCAAACACTGACACAGATGCTCACAGAGGCACCGAAAGCCCAGAATGATCATATGCTACAAGTTGTGGTAAGCGTTCTCTCCTCAGGTCTTTATTTGAGAGTTGTGAACTGATCTTAACCAGCTTCTTAATGGGGTATGTGATGCTTTAATCCTCTCATGCAAGAATAACCTAACTCCTGATGTTCATGTACACAAAATTTGCTGGTTTGTTAGGGCTCAGTGGGGAGTCGAGGTAATAAAAGAGAGGAAGACAAATGAAGGCAAACATGTGGAAGAGTTTATATTGGCTAGCAATTTTGTAAAGCCTTAAATTATCATAGTACTAAGAATACAAAACAGAGCTAAGAATTTGCTGCCTCTGAGCTGTGCAATGTAGAGGCACTGGTGGCCTTAAAGTTTGCAGATCTTAGTGAGGAAATGGCATAATTTTTGATAATTCAAGCTTTGGAATTAATCTGGTGTGAATTGGAACTATGAAAGCAGAAATCTAGGGTAATGCGTGATAATGTGGAACTCTAGGATAATGTTCACAATTTCCGTGTGGAATTGATTCCTCAGTGACTGCATACTAGCAATATCACTGCATTCAAACCAAGGACAGACTGGTGCTGAGAAAGATGTAATGTGTAGGCCTAATGTAATGTCATGTATGGAGATAAGGTTACTTCTCCTAAGTTCACTTGTGGTTTTCTTTCCTACCTCATTCTTTCATTTCTGAATGGTCACAGTTGTATAATTGTGCCTTTAAAGAGTTTCAGTATTCTTTTTGAAGGGAATGCACTAGCATAAGTTGACACAAAAAAGTGACCCATGTGCTGTTGCAAAGAGGTGAAGAACAAGTCAGGAGGACCTTCTCCTTTAAATTAGTTACTTGTATTTGACTGCCTGGAGGAGAGTCAGTTAGTTTTAAAAAAAAAAACAACAACTTTCTTTTTTAACTCAACTTTAGCCTGTGGCATGAAATTGTTTAGCCTCTAGCCTGTGGCTATGCAAAGAGGGAGATACAGTTCTGCTTATGTTTTACTGAATAAGATTTTTGTACCCTTCTTCTTTCTTTCAGTCCTGTACTTTATTTAAAATACTTATCTGTATGTAACCGGGCTGTTTTTCTTTAGCTGCCCCCTCTTGTGTTGGTTGCCTGTTGACAAAGGTGGGAAAGAGGCAGATAAATTACTAGCAAAGGATCTTCTTTTACTAAAGGCATTTCCAGACAACCATAAAATATAAGATGACAATGCTTATTAACAAAATACTGCTATTGATTTCAGAACCCTTCATGAGAGTTAGCTTCCCTTTTAGATGAATCTTAAACTAGCTTCTTTGACGTGAAGTCTGAAAGCATCCAGTGCTGTGTTCTAACACGCTATAGTCATGATGGTATTAAGATGGCAACTCTTGCTATTGTCATCTGTCCTCCCATGTGCCCAGAGCAAAGGGCCACTGGCAATGCCAGTTAACTGATGCATTAGTGCCACCAGCTGATGCTGTAATGCAAGCAATGGATGCTTAATGAATGAAGAGCAGCTGTCTTCATACAGTGAGGTTCGATAGTTGTGCCAGTTAAGATAAATACCTTGGTCATGATCATACTCTGGACAGAATTTCTGAAATGATTCAGTTTAATGAAAACAGTCTTTTGAAGGATTTCGTTTAGGTAGATTGTCTCACCAACCTATTGTAGAGTTCTGCTGCATGGGTAGGTGAATGCATATAATTGAGGAACGTGCAGGACTGAATGAAGGTGGGATCAAAAATGGGATCTGTTCAGTTGGATCTGTGACCTTTTGTGTCCCACAAAGGTAGTTTTTAGAGAGTCCTATAGACAGGCCAGGAATTTTTGCCCATGGCATCTCTCTTCTGCCACTGGATTGCAATTAAAGTTGTGTTCACATCAGCTGTTAGTGACTGTATTGGAGTGCGCCCTACCTCGAGGGGGGAGAGCTGTGGAGCAGACAGGAGAACTGTCCCACAGCAAGCGAAAGAAGTGGCCTTACCATCCCAGTGCAGCACGGCCACTGTGCGGGGACGGGAACCAAGAAGGAGGAAAGAGGAGATGGTTCCTCATTCTCTGACTCGTAACTGCTTTGGAGCCCATCTGGAAGGAGTTGAATGACTAATGCAATGAAGGACTTGGGGAGTGGTGGGAATCCTCAGGAACAGGAGGAATGTGAAGGGCCTGCCTCTTATTTCTTACACAAATTAAAATAGTATACTTATTTCAAGATTTCAAGTGCTTTTTTTTTAAAGGTTAAATTGCTATATGTAGACTGCCAAAACTTGAACAACAGACAAAGTTTACCCTTTTTTTGACCTTGTAAATTTGGGATAGTCTTGTGATTTGGATAGGGAAAGGGAAGGGAGACTTACAGTTCCAGTTGTAGGCTCATTTTTTTAACTTCTAGGGCTCTTAGTATTTTCAGTGCCATAGAGTTTTTTAAAATTTTTTTTGAAGGCTGTATCTTCTCCATAGCTACATGACTGGCTGCAGGAAACTGTAAGCTAATGCTCACAGTTGCCAAGCCTGTCTCATTTGTGTGGAAGTCTACGTACAGTTTTATAAAATTCTTGAGCTTAATATAGAGTACATTCAGTCAGGGCTGCGGGGAATAGTAGAGCAGGGAGAAGGCTTCTGCACCTGGAGAGCTTTTCAACCTTCAACAAAAGAATATATATTTAAGATATGTTAAAATATGTTGAATAAACTAAGAGAAGAGTTACAAACCAATAGTGCTGCATGAGAACAGCCCCTGCTCTGTTGCAGGTCTGAAGAAGCTGAGTGAGAGCAGCAAGTTTAAGGGCAGAGTGATTTGTCTTTGTACCTCTTGGTTTCCTTGTGTGTTTTATTTTGTTGTCATGCCCACATCAACAGGTGCCTGGTGTAAATTTGCCTGTCAGCCAGCTGACCTATTTCTTCTCTGCAATCCTCATCAGTGGTGTGATACATGAAGTCGGCCACGGGGTGGCAGCTATTCGGTAAGCCTAATTGCTTTTCTCTTACCATGTGCCTACAAAGCCCAACACTCCAGAGCATTTACTTACAAGTTAATGTTGTTAGCACTTCTTCGGTTTATCTAGAGAGTCTGTTTATTCTGTATTTAATAGCTTCCTTCGATTTTAAGTTTGTAAGGGTGTACAATTAATACTGTGGTTTTACTACAGTGTCTATTCTACAGCTCCTGAGAAAGGACTTCTGCTTTGCAAATACACCACGCTGCATCAGGTTTAAAATAATGCTTCTTTTAAGTGGTCCTATTTTTCACACAGTAATTGCATTTCTGCAGCTGTGGCACTTGAAGAGGACCCATGCGCTATTGCACAATGGTACTTTAAAATAGATTTTAAATTGATTTGTTCAAACATAGCTTGTGAAGTAGTATACGAACAAGCTGAAGCAGTAACTCAGTCAAATGTGATTTGCCCCTATCAGTCTCAGTGATGTGTTAATTTTGACCAAAGATGATATTTTAGTGTCACTTAACTATGATGATTACTTCACAAAAGATTTTTTTGACATGTTTAGTCATCACTATTAAATAACACTTTAGCTTAGGAGGGTTAAGTGGTGGTTACTGGGACTGATACTCAGGTGCCCTCCACATTTCACCTGGACATCATCATTATCTGTCCCATGAGCATGAAGCCCCAAATTGTTTCTCTGATTTTCTTGAGTGTAGGGAGTCGTGACTGCATCTTGACCCATTACTAACTTTTTTATAACCCCAAAGGTTCTCAAGTAAGGGTGTGGTTTGGGACCCTCTGTGTTTCATATGCTCTGTTTGTCTTTTAGCTTTTTTGCCCTAATATTCACAGGGATTTTTCTGTGGAGGATGAAGCTTTTGCTCTTGCTCATCCCACCACAGGAAGAAGCACAAAAATTTCCTTTCTCTTACAGTCCCTTCACATGCTGCTGGCTAACTGTAGAGAAGCCAGGAGTAACTACAGAGCTCTTTTTTTTCACCAGAATGAATAATTCTTATACCTTAGTGGTGTGATGTCTTCATTTAAGATCTGGAGCAAAGGCTCTGAATATTCAAGTTTGGTTTATGTGTTTGTCAAAAAAAGGGGAATATTTCCAGGGGAAAAATTTGTTTGTCCAATGTATATTGTTCCTGCCCTGCTGCTATTTTCTCCTTGACTTCCACCCCGTGCCACCCCCACTCCCAGCACAGGTTGGGTCTATAGTGTTGTTACGGTCTCAGGGTTTAGGCTTTACTAAATAGTCATGCTGTGGGCAAATTTTATTATTCTGGCAAATTACTTTGACTTCCTGACATCTAATACAATTTTGTCAACCTCAGTCCAAGGTAGTATTGGCTGTGAACTACAAGAGCTTAAAATATTTGAGCCTTAGCTTAGTTAAGGCTTGTGCCAAAAAAGCCTTTTTCTTTTTCCCTGTGTACCTTCTACCCAAGTGATGAAATTACGTATAGGCATTAGACTGCCTATTACTAATTGGTAGGACAAGTAGGTCTGAGGAGTTAACTCCAGGGAATTAATGTATTCCTGGTGATTAATTTTGTATAATTCTTTCATTGTATATGCAGAATAAATAAATAAATGTGAATAAATAAAATGCTATGCCCAGTGTACTGTCTCAGTAAAGATATGGGATTAGCTGATCCATGCCTGGTTTGTCTTGGTATATGATTGTTTTGCAATAATAATTGGAATGTAGTTGTCTTGGAACATGATTGTCATGCCTCTGTAAGTCCCTTATGAAATTTCTAGTTTCATAAAACCTTTATGTAGTTATTACAAAAAGTGCCATTTAAAAGCAATTGCAAAACTGCTGAAAAATGTATTTATTATCTGTATGACGGTGTCAGCTACTAATATAATTAAATAGCATTTGTCCTTTTAACCTCTTGACTTGTTTTCATTTTTTCAGATGACATTTCCCTCATTTTTGTTAGTTTACAATTTACTCTAATTATAATTTAGGAGAAACAGAGGAATGATAAATTCCAGAAATCCATAAATATTTCTTTAAAAGGAAAGTAATTCCTTCTACCAGATAATTTTTCGTAGATTAGTTTGAAACTGCATTTTTTTACTCAAAAGAAAAAATCCCCCTAATGTTAAAATATATATGTTAACTTGAAAGTAGGTTGTTTTTTTAAAAAGTATTTTGTGTGTTACTGTTACCAGGGGACAGAAAAGAAGTTGAACTTTTCCTTTATTTTTTAGCGGGCTCACAAATGTGTGGTGCTTAAAAGTGGCAACACTGCAGAAAACATCATTTAGTTTAATTATTTGTATTATGAAAAATAAGATAGTTTTATAATTTTAGTTATTCTCATTGTCAAAAATATATGTGCTATGTAGAATCTCTCAGTTTTTCATTTGTTTCTTTGCAGTAACACAACTTCATTTTTCTTTTCTTCTTTTTAAGAGAACAAGTACGGTTTAATGGATTTGGAATTTTTATCTTCATTGTCTATCCTGGAGCATTTGTTGACCTCTTCACAACCCACTTGCAACTGATATCTCCGATCCAGCAATTAAGGATATTTTGTGCAGGTAATAGTTTGTGCTTTTTTATTAAATCTTTGCTTAGCACAGTTACTTATTCTACAGGCATCATTTGTGAATCCTTGATGGAGGATTGAAGATTTAAAATTAAGAAGTACAAAAGCTTCTCTTTACGTAAAGGTGATCCTTCTGTTCTGAACCTAAATTGTGATTTCAGGAAATCATTTGATCATTACTGTCCATATTGTGCTGTTTTCTGGAGGACAGACATCAGTTTCTAGGAGCTGAAATGAGTACCAGTTTCCTGTCATGAAAAATGTTATTATATCCTAGATCTGATTCAGAATAGTTGTGCATAAGAAATTCCAGTTGTGTGGTTGGGGAAAAAATGTGGTTTCTGACCTTCCTCTCTCATTAGAAAAAGCTCTTATACCAGCTCAGCTGCAGAAGTTCCTTTGTCTTTGTTGTTGTTGTTGCATATTGTGTGGCCTAAGTAGCAAAACCTTGGAGCACAGAAGCTGGAAAATACTCAGCCAGAAGACTGGTGGAATGAGAACATGACTTGCTGTCACAGGTGAACACCCTTGGGCAATTCCACTACCATTTTCTGCCATAGGAGCAATCTATTATGTGATTTTTCAATAGTATTGTGAATGATTTTCAGTGACATGTGAGTTATGCTATTATACAGGTCACTGTGTTTTGATATTGCCATCAGGAGGAAATAAAGACTGAAAGACAAATATCCAAAGAGAATCACAGCTTATGGCTCCAAATAACCTCCAAATATTTTTGATTTGATGTTTTTTGAAGTCTCTGGCTACTGGGAAATAGAGCCCTGTTGCTGTGGAAAGTTAGACTGAGACTGTGTTATTGATTTCTAGAGACAAAGGTCATTCCCAAACTTTTGAAATAATGATAGAAAAGTTAGCATCTTGGTTTGCTTCTTGATACTGGTGATTTTCTATTGCAGGGGACAGTGGGATAGTAGCCAGCCTGTTGTACTGTTTGGATACTAACATTGTTTCTTGAATATTGTAACTAAAACATTTTAGGCTGCTCATACAGGAGCCTTTAGCAAAGCATATTTTCAAGCTTTCATAAATCAGGTGAATGATGATAAATGTTAGGTAAAGAAATATACCTATATTCCAAATCCCTAATGAACCAAAATGATTCACTGCAATAGGCTAACTTTTATGAAGACCGTATTCTCAAATTAATCAATTTCCCTTTCCAGCTACTGTGAACAGAAGTGAAAAAGAAGATATACCAATTTTCAAAATGAGTTGCTTACATACATTCCTGAGAAGTCATCTAGAAAAATAAGATTATAAGCTGTAATAGAAAACAATTGCTTGCATGTTCTTGATGACAAGCAAACGCCTATCGTAATTTTTCAGGCTTCTTAGGAAACCTGAAGTAGGGGAATACAATGTAGGAACAAGCATGTTGCAAGACTGGTTAGCATCAATGGCTTGCTATCAGTTAGGCATAACAAATGTATGCATTTTTTTACAGCTAATGATAGGTATGTTTCAGAACTAGGATGTTTGATAATGATAAAATGTGATATTCAGTAAATTAGTCAGTTTTCTTAATTGTCAGAGAAGTTGAATGAACATATTCTCAGTGTTCTGAAGATCTGAGTTTACAGAGACATGCTTTCAGATTTTTCTATGGCAGCTAAGTAAAAGTGCTAGAGTAGAGAATGACACCAATATTCCTTTTGTAGTCCACCTATACACTGGAGATTAAAGAGTATATGTGTTGTACAGCAGATGGCATCATGAGTTCAAGAATAGTGAATGAGCGTTCTTGTAAGACTTGTGATATTTTTAGCATTAATTCCATGCCTAGTAGATGAAAAGTGCTTCTGTGCAGCACTTTCTTATAATTACTTCAAATATTTGTATTATTTGTTGAAATCCTTTTTAATTACATTTTGCCTTGACTTTAACAGAAAAAGGAGTTAAAGATTTTAAAAACATTATTTTAAGGTGTTTTAAGCATTGTGTGCCTTTTTAAACATAAGGAATTAGGTATCCAAGGATGAGGCTGTTGTAGCAAAATTAACTTGACGTTGTGCCCCTACAGGTATTCTCATTTTAAGCCTGTTTATTTTTCTATGGATCACCTGGGATGAATTTGAAGCCCTTCTATTTTAGACTTTTCTGCTGTATTCCACACAGCAAACTATGTAGATTATAATATTAAAGCCCATGTTTTCCTAGCTGTTTGCAAGTATTCCTTGTCACCCTCTAGCAGTCCCATTACCTCTTTTTTTTTTCCAGTTTAATCTCTCTAGCATCTGCACTGTTACAAAGGAATTTTGTTTCTGTCTTAGATTTTTATCATTTTTTAAGATGTCAACCTGAAAAAAAATCTTTTTAAGATAAAAAGGTTAAAACAATAAAGTTGAAATACTTAATACTTTTGCTTTCATTGCAGTTGTGTGTGCACGCGAATATGAATGTGTGAGAGAGAAAGAGAACTGAATGCTGAAACATTTCATCTATCTGATTGCCTTTCAATGAGATATGATTAAAAACTATTGAGAAGACTTAGAAAACTAAGAGAAAAAACTTTATGAAGCATCTCCTAGTGGAAATGGCAACAAAGCCTTAGTTAAAGTACTTAAAAATTGTTTCTCATTTCTGCAGCATTAGAAACATAAAAGACCACGTGACATGTAGAGATAGACAGGGGAAATTTAAGTCTGCCATATGATATGATTCCTGTGTTATATACAGTGCCAGAAAGATAGGTTTAATATGTTTCTAAATATATTTACTTAAGTTCTTGTCCTGTAATTGCACTGTAAATATAGAACTGAATCAAACCCCTCTTAAAAAGATGAAGCACTGTAAGAAGGAAATAAGGAGTCTTCAACATTGAAAAGTTTTCCTGCATTGGTCATACAAAATGTTTGTCCAAGAACACAAATTAAATTAAAACTTTTGTAAAGTACTGGATGTTGAAGGAAGCCAAGTGTGTCTTATGATAGCGGTTCATTTCTTCCTATGGAGAACAGCGTATTATAAAGATTGCAGTTGCAAATATGTTGCCCAAAAGAATGTGTCAGGAAATGCTGATTGTGCAACTTAGTTTCTTTGTGTGGTTTTAGGTCCAGATTTTCTTGTAAAGGAAGCCTTTTTTCAAGTAAATTTCTAAACTTGTTTGGCACATATACCTGTAATTATTTTCATTAATAAAATGGAGATAACCATGAAAAATACTGAATTGCAACTAAATTTCAGACATCTTGCTGACTAGGACAAACATATTTATTCACATATAAGCCCATTTATTAAGATTCTTAAATTCAACAGTTCATTGTGCTAGAAGGTGACCTGTAATAGATTTCATTCCACTAGTTTTTTAATATTTATGTTTGGTGACCACTCTGTAGATAGAAACTGTAGCTTAATAATTGATTCAGAAGCCCCGTTTTTCTTCTGGATACTCTGCCCCACTACATACTTAGAAAAGTAGTGTTGCATGATGAAATATTGATATGATAGAATGACACCTGAAAAATGGACTTGCCACTTCCCTGTCTTTTCTGATAGTATAATTCTCAGGGGCTCAGAGGCTTTTCTGAAGCTCTCCTACAAAGTGGCATCATAGAAACTTAAGTTGTCAAGCAATATATGTATTCTTCTTTCATGCTTGTGTTCACAAATTAACTTTTCATCCATTCTTAGAGTAACTATTTCAGGAAAGTTGATTAGAAGGTAACTGTAGAATCTTGCATTTCAAAAACACCTTTTTGTTATTAGTGTTTATTTAGAAACTTGTGTTTTTTTCCTTCTTTTTAGGAGTGTGGCATAATTTTGTTCTTGGTGTTGCAAGTTTCATTGTTTTGTTTCTGCTGCCAGCCATTCTTTTCCCTTTCTATTACACGGGCGTTGGGGCACTTGTCACTGAGGTTGCAGAGGTAGGAGAAGATCTTTACTGTTTTTATATTATATGTTTTGTTACCTGAAAGGGACCTGTATCTTTTATTATCACAATCAAATTTGGTCAGTGTAGCACTCTGCAGAATCTAATATATTGCACTTTTTGTTTGTTTAAAGTTTCCTTTTCAGTCTTATGTTTTTTAGTATTAGCAAATGAAGGAACATGGCATGAATAATTATAGACTATTCAGTGTACTAGAAAACTGTTTAGACATTTGAGAAGAGTTTGCAGGCTTATTTCTGGGGTTTTTTTAAACTTCTTTTCAATACTGGCACCAAGTAAATCTACTGGAAACAGCATTATTCTAGTTATTGCTATCTGTTTTTAATGTTAAAGATTGTTTTGAGCTGATTTCCTTGCTTTGTTTGGTCAGCTGGAAGCAGAGACAGACTGCTGAGTTTCTGGAGAGGACTGATTTTTTTCTGACTTAATCAAATACAGCACAGTTGTAGAGCCGAAATGAGCTGAAAGGATTCAGTCTTTCTTGGATCTAAAAGTGAACTGATATAACTCAGGAGGAGAGTGACATTTATTATGCTTTATACCCTCTAAAGTATAGGTACACCCTGCTTTGTTGAAAGATTTAGGGTTTTAATTTAAGCTTCTTGAACTCAAAATGGTAGAGAAAACAACAGCATATTAACTTGTATGATAATAATTAATTTGAAGAGGTTCCCTGAATACTTGGAGGCTTGCCCTTTTTTTTCTTTTTTCTTTTTCTTTTTTTTCTTCTTTTCCTTTTCATTTTCCTTTTTTCTTTTTCTTCCCTTTCCCCTTTCCCCTTTCCCCTTTCCCCTTTTCCCTTCCCCTAAATAAGTTATTATTTGTAGAGGATGTTGGTTTTGTAATGCTTTATCATAAGCTGAAATAATCAGTTCTAGTGCAGCCCGAGTTCTTCTGTTTCCCTGGAAATAGTGTATAAACCTAAAGATTTTGTGGCTGACAGAATTGTAAACAAATTCTTTTAGTTTTAACTATAATAACATGACTGACTTCACTGTTTCTTCTCAGGATTCTCCTGCCAATGGCCCGAGAGGTCTTTTTGTGGGAGACCTTGTCACTAACCTACAAGACTGCCCAGTTTATAGTGTGGAAGACTGGAATTCCTGTCTGGGAGACATTTCAGAAAAGTCACAGGTCGGCTACTGTGTAAGTGCAGCCACCCTACAGCAATTAAGCTTTCCAGCTAGAGGTATGACTTGAGGTGCTTTCTTCATTATTTATATTAAAATTTTATCATGTCTTAAAGACTGTTTTGGATTTAGGATTTGTTGGTGGGGACAGATTTCTCATAAGTTGAGTCTGCTATCCTGTCTTAAGCAGTGACAAATATGCCATTTGTTTTTGTGAAACCTGAAAGTGAGGAAGAAGTAGATAGAAGAATTTCTCTGGTCTAGCAGTCATCCTGTACTAATATCCTGTATGATCTGAAAAAAGAAATACACCTCTTCAGGATATTGCATAGTTTGGTTATTAGCAGTAATACAATTATCTGCTCTATTTTTAGTTCAGCTATATGGATCAACTCAGTGATCTTTTGCAGATGTAAATTCTACCCATTACCTTACTGCTCTGATCAGCATGACATTACAAATTGTATGGCTTAACCCAATGATGTGCTTTATTATGGCCACTTCTTCTGATGTGTCTCACTATGTGGGTTTTATGTTTCATTTGCTTCTTCAACCTTGCAATGTCATTGCCCATAAACTTAGTTTTGTCTGGATTGCACATATTACTTCTAGAAGTCAGTCTATTTCCTTCTGTTTTCATTTATATGTAAAAGTGTTTGTTGCTGTAACGGCTTACCCCTGAGAGACAAAAAAATGTGAACTGAACTAAACTAGAACAATAAACAAAAATTAAGTAAAACAAAAAAGAATGGTCAAGTTGAATTGGCTGAATGTCTTGTGACATGCCCTAAAGCTCTCTAGAGTTTGTTTCATGCAAGCATCCATGGAGACTGAATTCCAAAGGTAAGGGCTGCTGCTGATCAAAACTTATATGATGCTATTCAGAGCTTTAAAATTGTCACTGCATTTTTCCGTCATACTGGAAGTAAACAGGAGGTGAGGCAGCTCAACTACCCATGTTTTTTGATGCCTTATAGTTCTCTTGTGAGACTGAAAAGGTAATTTTTATTTTTTTTTTAGTATGTAAGGAAAGTAATCTTTAAACTGGAAATTAGTGGAGTATGGGTAAGATCCTGCTTTTAGAGACCTAACAGTTTGGATTACCCTCTGAAGAGGAAGGCAACTTTGGCACATGCTTTCAGCTGAGCAGGGATGGCAAGTAAGAACCAGTTCTTAGATGCTTTAGGTGTATATGCTTAGATTCTGTTCTCTGAAATGCAGTTTCAGTCTCATGGATAATAAAGTTGCATAGTCTGCAACTGAACCAGTCCTATTTAGGTTGAAATACTAGAGACTTAATACCAGAGACTCAATATTGCTTCCAAGCATGGTTTCTGTATTGTGTTAGCAGCCCATTGTCCCACTGCTGCATTCTAACCAGACCAGTCTGTCTGCATTTTCGGAGCCATAAGCCTCCAGCAGTGAGAAATATCCCTCTGAAATTAAATGGACGTTGTTTGGTCCTTAGCAGCTGTCATTTGTCAAAATCTTGACAGTTCACAACTTGACATAAATACAGAGTATCAATAAAAATGTATCTAGCAAATGGACCCTATCTACTTGACCATAAAACAAATGGAGAGTAAACTATTTGAGTATGAAGCTAGACAGAAAACAATGACCCAAGGACCTTCTTGAAATTAAAAAAAAAGTAAATTTTTCAATGTGGTTTATAAGGAAACTAATTTCATGATCATTCACTATTCAAAAATATATGTGGCTGCTTAGCCTCAGGGTACTTGAAAAGAAGATTGTATGGTACAGTGCTTGCACCTGTAAGCCCCAGGCATAAAGCTCCATGGTAGCAGACTGCAGGTTATGCAGTGATAAATCAGCAACCAGTATCGCAGGCTTGATCTACCCAAGGAAGGTGTTGCAGTGTTGCTGTGACACAGATTCTTACAGTGACCTTTCTTTTGTGGTTTTTTTTTTTAAAGCTGTTGTTGTGGGGTAAGTTATGTTTAATTCATTTAAACATCCATACAAAGCTTCTGTACCAGGCTAGTTAAATCATGGTTTAAAACATTGTTTATTCACTGCTGCAGCCTTCAAGGCTTGGAAAGCTTTCAAAACCTGAATCTTGTAAAGACTTTCACATTTAAAAGAGGATATTTTGAGTCTTGGTCATTTCCATAGCCAGCCAGTGATATCCATACAGTAGCAGGTGACAAATTTCTATACTATACCTTACTGCAAGTTTGGGACAATAGATAAAAGTATTTTGTAACTCATAATGATCAGAACATTGCAGTGGTAGATCCCCAGTATCTGAAGGAGATTTATTAAGATGAAAAAATCAGTATGTGACATGATTGAAATCAGGTGACATTCACACACATAAGTGGTAAAGCTTATTTTTAGTTATGAATGAACCACAGCTAGGCTGTGTGAATTACTATAATTCCTGAAGGCTACAGAATGATTGGTTTACTTTATTCAGAGACTTATTTATTTTCAGGAAGTTACTATAATACTGACCATTTGCTCTATGCCTATGTTCTTTAGTCTATAGAAGACTCGATGGCACAGTTGAATGTTGTAGTAACAACAGCCTCACAGACATTTGCTTTTCATATAGCAATAACTTGGACAGCCACCTGGTAAGTTACTTGGACTGCTAATTCTGTCTGGTAAATCTGAAATTATTTAAATTAAATTTGTAATATTTACCAACATCTGTGCAGCATACTCAAGTGCTTAAGAATACCTACAGTTTGCAATACAGGTGTATGTCTATGTTATTCTCCCCATTTACAGCTTAAAAACCCCAAAGTGTTAGTTTTGATTTTCCCCATGATCAATCAAGGAGTCTCTGGAAGAACCAGAAAAGATCTTATACCCCTCATTCCTTTAGGCAGAAAGACACCTCCCCCATTTTTCACTCCTGGATGAGAGTACTTGTGAGAAGAAACAACTTTTGAGAGCAAGGTGAAATTGCTTATTTTGGTGCTTCACTCTTTAAAGGTACCGAGCACTACAGGCAAAGCAAAACACTGGACTATCTGTTCAGTTATTTTGTCTGAGCCAGCAGTGCTGCTCACTAGGTTAAACTAAAAACATGTAGAAGAAGGTCCTAGAGATTGCCCAGTTTCTCAAAATTGGGGCCTCTATGCGATTCCTTTTTCACCATGTTGATTTTCTTGTAACATGGAATAAAGTTTCTCAGTAGGATTTTGACTTACTCTCTTCAAAATACAGAAATGTTTGTTAAAATATGTGATCCATATTGACAGTAATGGAATATTTCTAACAGTTCTCTTTATGAGAAAAAGAGCACAAGTACCAACTGTGTAAACTTTTTCTGCTCATATCAGTTTGTTATTGTTCTGACTTCTAGTGATAAATGCCTAAAGAAATGGAAATAAGTCTGTGTTACTACATCTGCTATGTTTACAGTTTCTGTGATGGTAAACTTCCCACTCTATTGAGCACAGACCAGCAGTTCATTTGAAATATGACAGTGGCTGGGAAAATCCTGGAGTTCAGCAAGATTTGATAAATCACTACCCCACTGAGCTTTGACATTCTTAAGCTTATAGCTGCAATTTAGGAACAGAGAAAAAATAAAAGCATCCAGAAGCCTGTGACCTTCAAGTGTCCTTAAATTGGCTGTGAGTTTTTGAACTTACTTTAAATAGTCTTTTATTGTGAATTTCTTTGCAGTGCTATGCAGCAGTATTTGAAAGTGTGCCCTTTCCCCCTCATTAGAATAGAAACAGCTTGTATTGAGGTTAATGGAGAGTGTCTTAACACTCAGGCATCTACGGGGAGTGTAACTATCAAGCTAAGAAGCAAGAAAATACTTTTTTTTTTCTAAAGCAAACAGCAGATGAAGCACTTTTCTTGCTGATGTTTGAGAACAATAGGAAAATTATCACTGAGCTTTTACGAGAGACATGAGGGGGAAAAACAATTTCCTGTTCCTTTCTGCTATACTCTCTTTGGCCTGTGGGGAGCAAGAAAGATGTGGTCTTTCAGACTGCAGAATGAAAGAGTGTTATAGGTAGGACTTGGGACACAGCACTGCATTAAGTCCCATGTTCATCTTAGTTGAGAATGGTTTCTTAGCTACCACACAGCAAGTAGGTTTGTTGGCTCAACATAAGGTTTTGTTCAGCCAAATGAGGTTTTAGACCAATGAAGACTAAAACTTCTTAAAGAGGTAAATCATTAGTATGTTGATGCAGGCTCTCTTCATTAGAATCGCTGACATAGGTTTAGATGGCTTGATTTTTGTTGTGCATATGTGTACCTTTTAAAAAATAGTTAGCTTTTATTTTGGTACATGTGCATACCCTTTCTTCCACATTCCACCAAAAAAGGAATGGCAGGTTGAAAATATACCAGGTACAGGTTCTACAGGATTTGACAAAATCACACCAAAAAATCAGATTTCAGCTCTTCATGGGCTGATAGTATATCAATGAGGCACTTCCTTTGCTTTAAAAAGGAGTATATAGTACCTTTTTTTCTGATCTGTTGGAAAATAACATTGTTTGATAATCATTTTAAATGCCCTTTGCAGTATGCCTGTCTGCCAGCACGAAAAGTTATTGAGGCCAGCAAAGTTTGTCGAAATAACATGGACTGCCAGAAGGACTTTGTTCCAAGCTTTTGTGTGACTCCTTCTTTAGAGAACCAAACACGGCTAATCAGGGTAAAACATCCACCCCATATTGACATGCTGTACGTAGGACACCCCATGCATCTTCAGTACACAGGTTGGTATTGTTAATCAAAACAGTTTAACAAAAAAGATTTCTAATATGGTTTACTTTGCCTGGCTGCTTGAACAAGGTCTTGGAGCGATTGTCAGTTAACTTGTTTAATGCAGAATCCATTTCTTGTTACAGCCAGTGGAGAGACATGGACTACTCAGGCCTAAAATGAAATGTGCACAGTTGCAATGAGTTACGAAGGTAATAGAAACCATATGTGATATGAGAGAGTTGTTTTTTTCAGAAAAGTATGAGAGCGCTATTTCTATAACAGATCTCACTCAGGTTAGTCATGGGAACCAGGCACCTGCATTTTTCTAACACATAAACTTCTAAAAATGCTATTGTGAAGCCTCTAGGGCATCTTGCTCTAACACCTTGCCTGGCATATTAGCCTGACTGCTTAAGTCACACCTGATATCCAAGTATCCGTGACAGATTCCTGTGACTACTGAGCCACAAGTACAATCACAACATAGTTTTTCCCCCTATTTATTTATTTATTTATTTATTTATTTATTTGAGTGCCCTTTATTAAATAACAAGTAACAGTTTAGTTCTTTACTTTGAAATGGACGATGGCTCTCCCTTAGGCAAGCTTAGATCCTTGAGCCAAGTATGCAAGTAAAAAGTAACTCAGCCCTTGGAACAAGTATGGAAAGAATGAACAAACTCGTCTACATCCCTACTTAGTAGCTTGAGTGGCACGATGAAAATTAGCTTCATATGGGCTTTAAAAAGTCTGTTCCTCACAGACAGCTATGCCTCACACGGGGACATTTTACTTCAGACAACTTAAAGTACCTCTGTAGCAATGGAGGACTTTTCTGAATAAGCACTGGAATTAGGTACAAAAGAGCTTTAGAACAGTGATGAAATCTGGTAGTATAAATCATTAGCATTCTTGCATAAACATATTTTTAGTTAGTCTGTCAGTCTTTATCTTTCTGTGCTGGTCGTATTTTGATAGTCCACAGCAAATTATTTATTTCTACTTGTTTACACTATAGACTCATTTAAGCCCCAAATATGATCTCTTCACTTGTTATTTCTGCCCTCTTGCCATTTAGGAGGAAAAACATTGTTCACTTGTGTGATATCAATACACAGTTCTATATTTGATGACATCTACTCCAAATGCAGCAACAAATTTTAAGAATAGAATTTGATAATTATTTTAAGCTCCTTTTCTTCGTCTCTAACAATACAGACTGTAGGTACTCTAGAACAATTGATATTATTTGGATTTCCAATATGTTTGAGCAATGGAGTTTTAGTCAGTGTTTCCTACAGAATGGTAATTCTGCAAAACAATCGAACCTGTTAGCCTTTCAGAATTCAGAAAAGTATGTTACTCCATCTAAAGAGGTAGTTCTACTTTAAGATGTTACTGTGTGAAAATACAATTTACAGTGTATTTACAGGAATATATTCAAAAGTGATTTATTCTACCCTGGGAGTTGCACATTGAATTGCTAATTTGAAAGCTAAAAGCTCAACTTTTTTACAAATGCTGCTGCAAATGCAACCTATGTTCCTCTTTGAAAAACACCAGAACTAAAATTAAAGGATCCTGCCTTGGGCAGCGGGTAGTCTACTGTAACATTGTAGAGTTCCATGCATTCCAATGAAACAACTAAATATTTCACACTTAACTTTGCACTGTACAATACTGGCTTGGGATCAACAGGTTTGATTTTTTTCTTTTTCCCCAAACGTGACTGATCAGAATGCAGTAACCATTTTTTTACAGTTAAGAAAGGAAAATAATTTCTTCCTCCACTGTGTGACTTCTGAAATAGGAATGCATTTTAGTGAAATGCCTTATACTTTACTGTGATATTTTTGCCTGCAGGAAACTACTTTTTAGAGTAGTGGCACATTTAGCATGCAACCTGATATGGGAGTTGCACTAGTACTTGTACTATGACTTTACTTTCTTGAGTAATGTCACTAAAGTAATGTTTGAAAAACATTCTAAGATTATGCATGTATTATTTTCTACTTACGCTTGTATTGTTCTCATGATAGTCCTAATTTATGGAGAAGCGGTAATTATTTCATATTTTCATTTGAAGCTAGCTTCCAGATACAATATTTTAAAAAATTTATATCCATATTAGGTATTTGCAAGAAATAGGCTATACAGCTTAATGTTTCTCTTTCCTCAAAGTAAAATACCCTAGAAAAAGTATTTTTTGTTGATATGGATGCTATATATCACTCTTGTTTCCAGTATATTAAAAAAAAACTATAAAAAATCATACTTCTATGTGAACTTACAGTGCTGGAGATTTGGCCAAAACTAAAACAGAAGGAATGATTAAGATTGCATGTTGTTTAGGATGGACATATTGACTAATTCTTTTAATTAGCATTCTCTTTAAAAATCTAATGTAATCCAATATAAATTCATACTGTGGGTTTAATTCATGTGGTATTACTGAAGACTGTTAGACTTCTCTTATTGCAGGCCAGTTATGCTCTAGAGGCTGTCCCTATGTTGGACAGATGATATGTAAGGTTGAAATGGAGGGCCCTGTAATTATTACATGCAACTTTGCAGTGTTTCTTCTTTATTTTGTATATTTTTTTTATTCCTTCATGTAATTTCTTGTGTTGCAAAATCTTGGCTTCCTTCTCTGACTCTTATTGGTTGGGAAGAATCTGGTGACTAACATTCACGTTTGGAATTCACACTTCTTGAGGGAAGATCACATCCCTGAATGTTACTGTATCTGCATCATCTGTCAGGGATCAAAAACTGCAAGATTTCCTTCATGAAAAGAAGATGGAACTTACCTAGAAGATAGTTTCCCCAAACTGGAGCAGTCTCCTACTTCTGTTTTATCCAAGTCTTCTAAAAAAAAAACCAAACATTTCCTAGTTTTGTGGCCTTTTTTGGGGCAACAGCAGCCATAATCCCTGATGAAGGTCTATCTGTTAGAGTCTGGTTTCCCAGTATTTCTATGCTTGTTTCCCCTTATTGCTGAGGCTGATCCTTCTTTGCTTTCAACTCATATTTAAAGGGTTACATGTATAATTCTTCTGGAGACTACACAGAAATATCTCATGCCATACTGTCTCTCTCCTCCACAGCATACATGTCCTTTCCTCCATAAAGAGGTTTTGAAAAGCTCTTTGGTCAACCTAGTCTCCAAATCACTTCTAATTAAAATTGTGTCTGTTGTGCATTCTTCTCAATATTTGCCAACACCATCTAGCATTAGCCAACAAAAGAAATGTTAATTCCAGGTCAAAGAATTGTTTAATTAGAGTGGGAAAACAATGACTGTTTTGTCTCACCCAGCCTCATTGCTGTTCACCTCTTCTCAGCACTGTCTTTTGAAGCCTGGAGAACATATTTTTTGTAATTCTTTTCTTATTCCTTGAAGGACAAATTTGCCCGCTGCTATTAGGTTTGATCCCTTACAGCCACTAAATTAAGTGACTCATATTACTGTGTCTAGAGCTCAGTCCAGCAACTTCCTGAAGTGTTTTTTTGTGTTCTGGAGATTGCTTCAGCAGCAAGGTTTGGAGTTTAGATCCATGTCTGGTGGCTGTCAGGGACAACAGACAGTTTGTTGTAACAAAAAGGGAAGAAGATTACTGATCCATTCTCAATGTAGGCACAACTTCAGGTTCAGGATGGTAACTGAAATTACCGTATATGTAATGCAGTGTGTGTCTTTTGAAACCTTTATGAATACGCTGGCTGCCTCAGCCATTTTGCTATTTTGGCTCATGAACAAGAGGTCTGATCAGATGTTCTGATACCAGCCTTCAGCTTGATGAGTTGTTTGCTTTGGATATCACTTGACTTGGATGCTTCTGACTTTCTGAGCTGGGTGGTGTCCAGGATGTCTGTCTGTTATGTTCTTCACTCAGTAGACCAACAGACTTATTTATTTTGTCTCAGATTGCCTAAATCAAAGGTCTTTCTTAAGCTAAGGTAAGAGAGAACACAATTTTCAAGCTGTCTTGGCACAGCTGTGTCAGTTTGGGTATTGGAAAGTTCTCTGCTTGTTGCCGCACCAAGCCCATTCTTTTTTTGGGACTCCTTGCTATCCAAATCTCTCCATCCCATGGTATGCCTGCTGGTTGGACTAATTGCTTCTGACTCATCAGAAGAAAATGTGTTTATGTGACTGATGGACCAGTTCTCTGCCTCATGTGCCTTTGGAACTATATTCCCCTCATCTTTGTTCTGGTGTCCTTGAATTGTTTATTGAACCTGAGGAAATCTGATCTCGGTCTTAACTAAGATATACTTAGCAGCATTTTTGGTATGTTATGCAGTAGTGATGTGAAGTTTCCAGTGTTCCTTTAGCCTATGGTTTTAAAATTTCTCAAAGGGTGGGTTAAATTGTTCCTTTCCCAAGGGATGTCGGTACTGAGTGGGATATGAACTCTTGCTTTCACATATCTCTGTGGAGATGGTATTTCTTTATGGCTTTTCCCAGGATGGTAGTGAAAATTCAGGCCATTGTGGCTCACATCCAGACTTGTTCTTTAGGGGCAGAGTGACTGTTGTTGATACTGTGCAAGCTCAGTAAGCTGAAGGTGATTTTCTAATTGTGCCTTAATTTACCTAAACCTCTTCCTTCCGGGGATAAGACTCTGCTATGCTGTGAGTGGAGCTTTCTAGTGGGAAAGATGTCTCTCTCTACCAGCTGTCAGAGAACTAAAGCTTTCAGTCCATCCCTGAGGCTGGCAGACTGAGACTGCTGTTTACTTTGACGGACTGCATCAAGACTTTTTATGAGACAACCCAGGTGGAGCATCCCTGTACTAACAGAATGTACTCTGGGAGGTCTCAGCTACCTCAGTTTTCTCTCATAAACATTTGACATGCAGTCAGATGAAGCTTCATGTACACCTTCAAAGAAGTTATAATACTAAAGAAGTGTTTTAAGGTCATGTGGTACGTGACACTGCAGCTTCCCAGTCACCAGAATGCTGAGTCCGACCTCCCAGGTTTTTAAGTTGCACTCAGTTACACCTTGGAGTCACTTACAGTATCACTGGAAGACAGAAAAAGAAGCTACTTATGTACTGGCTAGCTGGTGTTAAGATGTGTAATGCACTAGTGCATCATCTCCTAGCCTTTGCTTTCTGAGAGTGACTCCAGAACTCTGCTCCCTATCTGCCCCGCTCCTATACACCATGAGCTCAGCCTTAGGTCGGGGGGATCTTCTGCAGGTCCTGCAAAAGAAGAATTTTCTGGCCTTCAGAGGAAGTACACATGTGCACCCACAGTATGAATGTATACATGTGGACTGCATATGTTGAAACAGTCTGGTAACTATAACCTCTTTTTATATGTTTTTCTTTGAAAAGTACTTAAATTAAACAATGTGGTCTTTATGACTGCAGATGTCCAATTGCCTCTGCAAATGTATATCTTAGATCTACTTTTACTGAAATCATGCTAATTGTATTTTGTGGAGTGACTTTACTATGATAGTGACCAAAGATTTAACAGCTGCACTCTTTTAAGAACAAAACCCAAGCAAAACCATATTTAGATTGGTTATTCACCCTTGAAGAAATGTCATTTCAGATCTGATTTTTCTGCAAAATTATAATCTAAAATTCATAATGTTATAATCCTGGAATGACTGTTCATGTTTTGTGTATCTTTCTATTTTTATTTCAGTAAGTCTCAGCAGTTTTGTACCACGACAAAACTTTCTAAGCATCGATCTGCCTGTGGTAATAGAGACATTTTGCAAGTATCCTTTGAAGTATGTTTGTTCTTTTAAGGCAAGAAGGGAACTGTTTAGAATTTGGTGACCCAGCAAAATTTCAGTTGGATATCATTTTAGACAGGATGCTCTGAAACATTTCTGTAGAGCTTTGACATCTTTATCCCATCTCTGCATTGATTATTGTCCATGTGCCAAGCTCAAAATGAAATCTTTCACTTTCTTGTGCTTAGCAGGATATTTTTGGTCAGTGGTTTTTTAAACTCTTTCTTGAGAATGAGTCTTAATAGCTCTGACGAGAAAGTCAAAGTAAGCCTGAATTTATGGCAGGACAAATAAGATGTTAGCTAGCTTTGGTATGTCAGAGTTTTATAATTTTTGAGTCATTATACTGAACTAAATAGCAGGCTATGGTGGTTATTTTTTTCTTCAACAGAAAACGGGCTATTCAAAAAGCAGGATGATAATTCAGTTAAAACATTCTTATTAATGAATAAGATTATAATGTACAGATACATAAAGGTTAGTAGGCCTGAATATGGCTAATTTAAGAACCCTTAGCCTCAGAAACTGAAAAGTTTATGCGTAGAACAATTAAACAGCGTAGTTCAGTGTAGTCCATAAAACTAGAGTAAAGATGCTACATAATCTCCCCTTTTCTGGCAGCACACCAAGGTTCACGCTGACCCATCTGCATTCTGAGTCATCTGTCTTCTTGTCCAGCCATTACAGGATGGAGGTAGGTATTAAAGTCAGCAAGCCTTTACCAATAATAAGAATTATCTACCCTTGCCTCATTCTCACATGCACATGCACGTGCAGAAATCCACTCAACTTTTCTGGCTAACAGGTAGGTAGGAGAGAGAGGCCAGATTTCCAATCATATTCTAGCCATTTACTTACTCCAGCGAGGGAGTGTTTTGGAAAGTATTCCTAATCATTATTTCATACTTAGGTCATAGATCTAGAATACCTTCTTACTTCAGGCATGGTGTCAGAGCTATAACCTTCCTCCAAAACCACACAAAGTAAGGGAGGAAGATGGGCAGTATTAAGTGTGGTTTTGCTGTCTCCTGCTTTCATCTGAGTTGTGAAGAGTGTGGGTTGTTTAAGTATTCGAACCTAGTATTTAAAAACAAATGAATCTATAAAGGCAATTCTCTGACCTTGTATGTTGTGGTGTAAAACTCATTGTACTCATATAATTTCTGTGAAACAGAATGGCAGCTAAAAAATAACCCTTAGATGTTTCTCTCTGCATAATAGAAATAAAAAATGTGTTTTGTATTAAATTTTCTTTGACATTCTCTTGGATATTATTCATGAACCTTAACTAATGTCAACCAGGTACCTAATCTCACTGTCAGGAGCACTGGCAGTTATCAACGCTGTACCGTGCTTCGCTTTGGATGGTCAGTGGATATTAAATTCATTCCTGGAAGCTACTCTGAGCTCCTTGATTGTAGAAAAACAAAACAGAGAGCTTGTTGGCTTTTTAGTTTTGCTTGCTGGTAGTGCACTTTTGGCTGCTAATGTTGCACTGGGACTTTGGATGGTGACAGCACGATAGAACACTGGATATGCTTCCATCAGTTCTCAAAGTACACAGAAATGATTAATCCATTGCCTTTTAAAACTTGTTCAGTACTGAGATTGAAATAATTCCCTTAAAATGACACTGAAAAAACAATCTCTGGTGGCTGCTGTATCAATTTAAAACTGTATAATGTTGTGTCTGTGGTCATGGGAAATCTAATAGAAAGAAGTAGGAACCTTTTTATATACTGTTTAAGCACTGTACTAATTTTGGAGAAATTGCATTGTAAAGTTTCACAGGAAAAAGCCTAAGCCTTCATCAACTTAGATCTCAAAATAAGGGAATTATTTGGCCTCAAACATTTGTAAAGTGGGAGAAAGAAACACTTAGGTTTTATTTTATAATTTGAATAATTATCAAAAAATCTGTGTGGGCTCTGATCATTTCTCAGTCAGCGTAATCTTGAGTGTCTTGTTTTGTTTTTTTAATCTGGTATTCTACCAAACTGGACTCTAAGAAGCCCTTAAAGTCTGATCTCAAAATGGTGAAAAGCTAAGTAAATGTGTTAATGAGGAGAGAGAGGCCATATGGCTTTGTATCTTTCCTTTTCAGCTGGCCAAAATAACTGGAAGCATCTTGTCCTCAGGATGTAGATGAGAGGCGCCAACGTCTGTTAAGAATGAGGCATGTGGGAGGATAACAAAGCCCACATGTCTGTGTTTCTTACACATTCAGTTGTATATTATCATACGCAGCTGAAGATTTTTTAAAGGCAATATTTGTCAGCAATAGGTACAAGATAACTGAAATTTAGGTTTTGAGTGCTGAAGTATGCTGTGCACAATTATTCCTAAGTAATGTCTGTGTTGTTTTACTCAGAAAATAATACTGTGTTGTACTTGCTTACAGTTAAAAGTGAAACCTGTTGTTTTTATGGTGTCTATCTTCTGATTCTACGCATGTAATATGTACAGTAACTCGCTGATGGTTTTCTGTCTTTCAAAGGGTTGTTTTCCTTTGCTAGGATTCATTCTGTTCAAAGATAGCTAACAAAGACGTTTAGCTGAAGCTGGTCTTGGATCAGAATTGTTTAGAGGAAGAATATGATTGTGAATTGAACTATTTTAACATTTGGCTTTGCTTTCTGAAATGAATATGGACCATATCCTTGTTTTTAAATGAACAGTGGAAGAACAGTCAGTGTTTTGCTGACTGAAGTATGTCTGACATACTTAGAGGCTCTTTAAGTCTGTAAAATTTTGTATCCAATAGGATTATATATTGACTGTCATGTCCTCCTGTGATATATTGCCTAATTTACATAAATCAGTCAGGGCCTTGCCTCAATATAGGCTGATGTTTTAAAAAAAAGAAAAGCTCTAGTTTGGGACCCTAAATATTCAAAATAGGAAAATTTTGAAAAATACCCTACAACTTCTGGCTCGTACAGCACTCCCCACAGGAGCTGCTGCAGCTCTGAGCTTTTCAGAAATGGCCTTTCCATCGGGAGCTGAAGTGGAAGCTAAGCTCAGGGATACTGGCCTGCAAGGAGTACTGAAGCATTCATGGCCAGCTACCATAGATTCTCTTGGCACTAGAGGTAAAAGCCTGCATAATTTTAAAAATGGGGTTGAGCCTAGTTCTTGGTGCTACTGCATGGGTTCATAACTATGATCATAGAGTCATTGATGTTGGAAAAGACCTCTAAGATCATCAAGTCCAACTGTCACCCCAACGTGTTTGCATTTGCCCACTGATGTGTTACTGTATTTTTGCACAGTAGCCTTCACACTTACTTAAGATGTGTTCTTTTCTTAAGAAGATGCAAGCAGTAATGAGAGAGCATGTTTGTTTATTTGTTGTTGTGTTAGTTTACTTACCTCTCCAGTGCTGCCAGAGGCTGCTGGGTGCACCTCTTGACGTTCACCTCTGTGGGGTGGCAGGCCCCATGCCTCTCATTTTCCATCATTTCAACCCAGGCATGTCAGCACAGATCCTGGTAAGAGACAGTAAATCCTCCAGTCAATCCAAAGCATGAGTCGGTCCCTTTGGGGACTGTTAAAAGTCACAGAAAGTGCAAGGAAGGAAAAAGAAACTATCAGAAACTGCCAGTGGACTTCCCTTTCTTCTGGAGACACCCTGAAAGTCTGACTCAGCATTGCTCCTGGAAACATACAGAGGTTTCAGGGTTGCAGTTCTGATGGGCCACTCTGCCATCTCTCCATGGACGGGAGGGACAGGAGCAGTCTGGTTCTTGCACAAAGCCTGGCTCTGAAGCTGTGCTCTAGAAGCCTGCTCACTCACCTAAGTGGCTGCTGACTAATCTGAGCTCTTCATGTCGGTGGCTCTGTGCCACTTTCCTCTGTCTCTATGTCTTGTCCAATCTACAGTGCACAAAATTAATTTGCATTTAGGAGTTTTAATGTAATTTAGTAAGACAGGATATTTAGTTTTTCAAAGTGGCTATTATCTATGTATCAGAGTTGCAGTGCTGTCTTCTTATCTAAAGCAACAACAAATGGCATCTATGGTGATTTCAAAAATATTCTGTGAAAAACATTTCAAGTCTGATACTTTATATACTCATGTTGACTACAACTGCTTGGGACAGCTTTTTAGCATAGTCCCCCTCCTGGAGATGTAGGAAAGAGGTTTAAAAAACCAGAGTTTCTGAATTAACATACACAAGTTTTATCTGCTCTAATGAGGCTGGCAGGTTGTTCCTGGTTATTTAACGTGCTACCAAAACATGACGTTTTATCAAAGGAAACTAATCCAGTTTATTTTACTTTACACAGTCACTGAAAGCCACATACTAAATAGAACTTCAGCTTCTATTTGACCTCATAATCAAAAAGAGGGAGGAGAAGACATCGGTCATGGTTTTAGCAAAGCAAACACACTGGTATGCTGTAAAGATCCTGGTTATCTTTAATGGGAGAGATAGTACTAGAAGCGTTTAAAAATAATTCATGGGTCCATTTCTGCATGTGCTAGAATTCTACTGAATAAGGGTTGATTTAGATATGTGCAGGTGCTTTGAATCAAGACTTTAAGCAAACTGGATATAATGGTGACCCAGCACATCTTAGATTATCTGTGGACAAAGGTAATGGTTAAGTTGGACCGATATCTGAAGAAAAAGTTCTTCAGTGGATCCATTTCATTCTCCTGTAATCCTAACATATGGATTACAGTCTGATAAGCAAGTGCCATACATACAGTTATTGGAAGAGGTTTTTGTTTGTTTGTTTAGCAAGAGAGAACACACAAGGACACGGAATGTGTTTCGTGTGATTGATTTTTACTCTGGAGTATTTGTGATGGTTCTTCTATTTCAGTTTTTGTAAAAATTGAAAGGAAGCCTTTCCTTAAAATGAAATCTTTCCACTTCTCATTCTAATTAGCCTCTCAGAATGTAACAAATTCTTTAGTACAGAATCTGTCAATATAATTATAGGGCATATTGACCGGAGTATAAACCAGAACACTCTTAAAGATTGGATGGATACTAGTATTTATGTATATACTATGCATTTAAAATCTGTATCAGATGGAAAAAGTAATGTCTAACATTGAGAAGTGTTATATGTTGCTTTTACTTGAAAATTACCATAATTCCATAATTATAATCAGTCATTGTTCTGATTTGTTTTTTATGAGAAATTTTTGTTATATCAGCAAAGACTTCCATAGCATGTTCTGATAATGCATGATATGACATGAAAGTGCCCAACTTCTTAGCATGTGGGAAGTTACACACTCTTTGCTAACTTAGGAAAATAAAACCAGCTTGCTTCCATAGACATTAAATGAAAGAGACTTCACCAGAAAAAGTATAGACAAACTTGCAGATTAGTCAGCCCAAATTCACGAGCCACAGTGGAAACTCTGTTAACTCACCCTTTTTATTTAGAATGAAACAAACAACTGTATTGACAGTGATATTTTTCAGTGATAAGGATTCTACATTTGTGTATATGTGTGTATAAATGTGTGCATACATATAATAGATACATACACAGCCACAGTCTGTATTGCTGCTTTTTTAGGGATAACTTAGAGCAGTCCTCCATACTCTGCAATGTAGGCTTTTTTTCCTTTTTCTTTCTCTCAGTGAATTCCATGGCTTTCTCTGGATTTTAACATTGCAACTCTGTTTTTCTCCCATAACTGATCTAACTTCTTTATTAATGGAAGACAAGTGATGGTCATAATGTAAGCACAGCTGCATGAGTTTTGTTCAGCTGATGTTTAAAATATGTTTCTTGCTTTCTGTGAGGCCTCGGCTACAAGCATGGTAAACACAGATTTTCAGGGCAACTAAAAGAGGTCAACCTTAGAATTAGTCACTCTCTAAATGCTGCTATTTGTGCTGTTCTGAATGATAACTGGTGTGAGTGAGACTGTGAAGAGTCTACTGAAGAAATAATGTTTTCAGGACAGACCTTCCCATGGCAGGCAGGCTGTTTCAGCTTTCTTGAAATAAGGATATACTTTTGTTCAGTCTAGAACATCAACAATCCACATTTTCTAATAGTTGCCTATACATGTTACACGATGGCAAAGGGTGGCCTATAGCAAATAAGTTTTTTAATAAATTTTGTATGTCTTCTGTCTACAAGATCTGAATTTTTATCTGGATATCATTTATGACAGATGAAGAAGGGTTATAAAGGTTTACATAGCCTAGTCTGTATTTAATTATTTTAAAAATAGGCGAGTTAAACTCTAGAACTAAATAATTTGTAAAATATGCATTCTGTACACCTGCATTCAGACCAATTCCCACAACCAGTCTTGCCTCAGCTTTGTTCTTGTGACCTTGTGAGTAAGGAAGCTGAATCTAACTCAGGTAAGGTCCAATATTAGCAGTTATTTTATACCCTCTTTATCCTGAATTTGATATAACACTAGATTAGTTATTTAATGTGTATGAGTTGTCTGGGGTACATATCCTGTATTAATGCAGCATTTGGGTAGCCTTGTACTAGGGACTGCCAGAAAATGTCAGCTCTGTGTCTCTCGTTCCT